GAGGCTTTTTTAACCACAGACCTTATTTCAGGCGATTTAGCAAAAACCCATTCAAAAAAACCCATAGACTTTAGGGCGAGGAAACCGGGAAAGTGCTAAAATGCTAACTCACTTCCGCGTTTAGCCTACAAAGTGACGTCATAACTTCGGCACTCTATTCCTCAGATTTGATGAATAAGAAAATAACATTAGCTACCTGATGGATGGCTGACGAATCAGGGAAGGACACGTCATGACACCCAATCATAGAGCCGAGCGTGAGCCTCTGCGTCAGCGTTTCTAAAGTCCTCCGTTTTGTCCCGTCTTCACTAAAACGCCCTCCGGATATTCAAAACGCAAAACGGAGCTGCAGCGTTTCTAAACTTCTCCATTGTAGGTCATTGTTTTTTCCGTTTTAGTCTGGACGGGAGGTGCAAACGTAGCAAAAGGTCTCCGTTTTTAAATGAAAACGCAGTAGTGTGGACGGGGCCTTAGACAACTTGTTATTTCCAATTTTAAATCATTAGCTTTTATATTCGTGTTTATATCCTGATACGTGACTTTGGTTAATCCATCCATTAATTTTCCAAACCCCTTTTCTTACGTAGGTCTTGGAGTAAAAATAAAATAAAAATGTATATATATATATATATATATAGCTGTGATTGAGTGGCGCATGTGGAAATCATTAGTTTAAGTGGTTTCCCAGAACCACTGTATGTTGTGTTACTCACTCACGTACAGCAAGCTATATATATATATATATATAAATGTAATTGTTTAAAAATGTATAAAACAATTTTCCAAGGCCCTGCTAGCACTCAGAGCATAGTGCTAATGATGTGGGGTTGTGCATTTCATCAGGCAATATAATTCTAGTTATGTGGAATAGCTGGGGGCAGGCAATGTTTCTATATAAAGAGAGCATCATCATGAGCCATCACCACTGTGCCCTTGAGCAGGGCACTTAACCCAGGTTTCTAAACACAGCTCAACACATGAGGCATTGATGCATACAGTATGTGGCAAAACTAAAAGAATTGTGATGGCTGAGATAACATGGCATATACCTCACCACTGTATGGATTATTACGAAACAGCCAAGTTTTACTCACTGACATCTAAACAGAGTCTGAGGCTAATACTTAATATACCGCCCTGTGCATGAGAACTAGAAATCATAGGGGGGACTATTAATATTACCGTGCTCAGACCAAAACACTTCTCGCTTTGTTTGTGTGAACTTATACAGTATATAAATCGAGAATAACACGTTTCTTATTCAAGCAAACCACACAAGTACATGTACAGTGATGGTACAGTTCCCAGCAATAACACAGGCACAAACAAGTGTAAGGGCTGTTCACACAGAACACCTTTATTGCTGTTAAAAAAATGTGAGACGCAGGACCGTGGAACAAAAAATGTGCAATGTAGAGACACATTTTTAAAAGCTGAACTTCGTGAACTTTTACATTTTGAACTTCATCATACGCAAGACACTGCAAAAGATGCGAGACGTCTAGTGTTTACATTGAAAAATAATGAAAAAGTAGCTAAACATAATAATAACTTATAGTCTCTAGTAAATAATTTGCATTTTTAAATATATAACTGTATAATTTTTATATCATTTAAATTTTTATAAATAAGTAATATTAATATTTCTTAATTTAAATTGTTAATATTTATTTAAAATATTATAATAACTGAGTACATTTATTTAAAATATTACAAAACATATCAAATATATTAACCGAATGTTTTTTTTTACTCTATTTATTATGAATTAAAGCAAGGTTTTAAGGTTGTCCAAACACTCTAGACACATGGCTTGACCCGACGAAGAGCGAAGTGTGTGACTGTACTCTAATAATGGGGAGCGAAGTCCTATTTTTAGGGTCCTAGAAATGAGTATCTATAATTAGAAAAGGAGAGCAGTGACTGGCGCATGTGGAAATCATTAGTTTAGGTGGACATACACACAGGTTTCCCAGAACCACTGTATGTTGTGTTACTCACTCACGTACAGCAAGCTGACGGAAAGCCAAGTGGAACAGAAACAGGAAGAGACAGGGCAGATTTCTCTCCGACTCCGTTTGAGTGTGTTGTGCAACTGGCACTTAAAAACGTACGTAATACACAAGCTTTCGTTTCATTTCCGTAAAGTACAGATTTGTTTGTGTGTTTGTCCGAGTGCTTACATGGAGCTCAGCCTTAACGTCAGTCAAGTTCTGCGATAAGACCACAGAGACAGTAGACAATCAATCAATCAAGCTAGCTATCACTGGAGCTCAGAACAAGCATCAGTAAATCTGGCTGGTTCTGTGATCGATAGCACTTAGACAACACAGAACTAAACAACGCTGCTCCACAATTGAACCACTAGCAGTAAGGTTACATCAGTCTGTGGTGTCCACACAAATGGTACTCACAAATTGTGTGTCCTAAAGGTTATCATTCACACGTTCATGCAAACTTGCAGTGTCCAAATGTAACTTTTTGCCTGCCAAAAGGTGGGTGAATGAAAATGTACAGGTCTTAAAGGGATAGTTCACTTTGAAATTAATTTTTGATATGTTTTAGATTACCTCAGGGGAATCCAAGATGTAGTCGTCTTTGTTTACGCAGTAGTTTCAATTTTGATATTTTTACGTCAAACCGTTGTTTGTCAGTCATATAATGGAGGTCTATGGTCACCACCTCAAAGAGCATGCACAGAGAAGTCCAAATTAAACATGATTTAATGACTCGTGAATGTAAGTACACATTGATGTCCTCAGACACGAAACGAGCGCTCATAAATCATTCCATCCAATCTAAAATTAAAGCAAGAATAGATTCGCAAACGATTTATGCACAAATTAGTTCTGCATGTTTCATAAATCAAGCCTATTGGATAGAATACATGTTTTTCATAAAATAACAAGCATAAAATGTGGCTTCTTTGTCAAATTGATCATACAAATAATCAACATAAATCAACAAATTAACTGATTATCAAAATAGTAGTTCATTGCAGCCGTAGTTTTTTTTTTTTTTTTTGGGTAACGCTTTACAATAACTTAATTCATTAACAATAGTTAGTACAGTAGGTATCTTGAACTAACCATGTACAACATGATAAAAGCAATTATTTAGGTTAACATTTATTTCTTCCGGCGATTTCCAGCGCTTGCACACATCGAAGCGCCCATGCCTTCAAATCACTTGGACGTGGCTGTGGTTACAAAAGCTAAAAACGATATAAATACTGTTCGTTTTCTCACACAAACCGCTCGTTTCGTGTCTGAGGACATCAATCTGTACTTACATTTACGAGTCATTAAATCATGTTTCATTTGGACTTCTCTGTGCATGCTCTTTGAGGTGGTGACCATAGACCTCCATTATATGACTGACAGACAAACGGTTTGACCTAAAAATATCAAAATTGAAAATACTGCGGAAACAAAGACACCTACATCTTGGATGCCCTTGAGGTAAGCTAAAACATATCAAAAATTAATTTCTATAAAATTATTAACGATAAATCGCTCATTTAGGAACTGTTGTGAGATGCACACAGAGTGACTTTCTATTGCATGTGAAAAGATGGATGCTAAAGTTTGAGCTGACTCACAAATCTACTCTTATCCTCTTCTCAACATGGACTGTGTGTTCCCGGGGGCGGGGTTTATGTCACTAACCCCGGAGGAATGTCGTGTAGTCCCTACCAGCCGTTTGTTGTAGTCCTTTTCTTTAAAAGCAAATATCTTCCTTTGCTTTGAAGCGCTGTACTGCTTGACCATCAACAACATTACACACTAACTAAAGTTAGAAAAGTGAAATCATACTTTACCACCCCTTTTAACGATGTTAACACTTGCTAGCCATTTTCCCAACTATGCCAACCTTTCCAACAGAGAAGTAACAATGTAACTCTGTCTGCATGGAAAAAAATGCAGGAGAAGGAAGAAGTGTGTGTATTACTATCGTCAGCAGTTCTGTGTTGAGGCGCAGTATGACACTGTTAAGTAGAGAAACAGAGAGCCACTGTGCCTGTGTGTGAGAGAGAGAGACACAGTGCTGACTCAAGCCCTCTAACCTTAAATCACACAAAAGAGGCTTAAAAGGAAGAGAAGGAAAGCGAGTGAATATTGGAGAAAGGTACCCTTTGTGTTAAGGCTTTTCTGTGCCTAGTTTAAGCAGGAACCCAGCTGTGCTGGAGCGAAACAGCCATCGGAATATGAAGAGGCTTGATTTAAAGTCACACTGACTGAGCAATGATATCCCAGCCATCAAAATCAAAACCAGACACCGAGTGAATGCAGAGTATTTTTAGCGTGGACATGACAGTCGTTTGGATGATAAAGGGATGGAAGAGGTGGGGTTCAAGCTGCTTTTCCTGCTGCACATGCCAACGCCCAATACTGTATATCCTGTGCAGGGGGAAAATATGACTTCCTATTCAGCAAATATTCACAGTCTCAGAGGACAGACAAGAGCGTCTGTCCAAAATAAACTTATGTAAGGAGCGATGAAGATCACAGTAATGATTAACGTACACAAACGTCCTGTCTGGACGATAATGGCCATTTCTGAATAGTTTCGCAGAACATTAGAGAGATAAAACTCATACACATCTGTGCACACACTGCGGCTGAAACATATTCGTGTGCTGCTGGTTTTCCCTACAGGCATATATGGAATCAGTGACTCGCTATCAAAGCTGTCACACGTCTGACATTCCCTCTAGTCCTGCACGGCAAACACGCACGTCTCCATCCATTCATCAGCACCAACTACACTGAAGGAGATCACATCTAATTACTGTAATATAACAACATCAATAACAAAGAATTAATTATAGTCAAGCGCTAATGAGTTATTCACTTCTGCGTCAGTGAAACACAAAACAGAACCATTAAAAACCACTTTGTTTCATTAATTAACTGACACGATGGTTGTAAACTGTAATTTCGCATGTACTGAGGGAGATCAGAAGAACAGAACGCAGGACTAAAGGGCTTCAGCGGTACCTGGATCTAGAGGAGAGCGCTTCGGACTGCTGTGGCTCAGACGACACTGACTTCTCTTCGTCCTTCAGAAAACTCTTGGCCTCCCGGGAGTCTGCGTCCACCTCTTTGGTGACCCTGCGGATGATAACAAGAGATAATAAAAAAATCTTCAAAAGCAACTGACAAAATACTATAAACTACTGTTCAAAAGTTTGGGGTTTGTGAGATTTTTCCAAGCATATGTATTTGGAAATACAGTATTTTCTGGTTGTCAAACATAAATGGATCATTAAAGTGATGATCTACTACACCTGGATTCATTTGTTTTCGAATGCCACTTTTGGAATGATATTTTGTGATTTATGAAGTAAAATTCACTTTGAAATTAATTTTTGGTATGTTTTAGCTTACCTCAAGGGCATCCAAGATGTAGGTGTCTTTGTTTGCGGAGTAGTTTCAATTTTGATATTTTTAGGTCAAACTGTTTGTGTCTATCAATCATGTCATGGAGGTCTATGGTCACCACCTCAAAAAGCATGCACAGAGAAGTCCAAATTAAACATGATTTAATGACTCGTGAATGTAAGTACATACTGATGTCCTCAGTTTGTGTGAGAAAACGAACAGTATTTAAATAGTTTTTACCTCTTGTAAGCACAGCCACGTCTAAGTGATCTGAGGGCACGGGTTGGTAAGAGGTAAAAGCGATATAAATACGGTTCGTTTTCTCACACAAATCGCTTGTTTCGTGTCTTAGGCCATCAATGTGTCCTTACATTTATGAGTCATTAAATCATGTTTAATTTGGACTTCTCTGTGCATGCTCTTTAAGGTGGTGACCATAAACCTCCATTATATGACTGATAGACACGAATGGTTTGACCTAAAATTATCAAAATTGAAACTACTGCGGAAACAAAGACACCTGCATCTTGGATGCCCTTGAGGTTAGCTAAAACATACCAAAAATGTATTTCAAAGTGAACTATTCCTTTAAGTATCAAAAGTGTCCAAATATTGTGGGCCCACTGAAGTCTTTTTACAGAACAAGTTTTAATATAAATCACATCTTGCGTTCTTCAAATGAGTTCAAAGCTTGTCAGTGCTTTGTGCTTGGCAGGATGTGAATATTTTACTGGCTCCGCTTTGAGTGTGTGACTGGCTCATAAACACAATGTACTGGAATTCATTATTAAAAAGCAGCAAGCTAGACAAGCTAAGATGTGATGACAGCATTGTGATTAACTACAACAACGTTCACTGAAAATACCTAAATATTTCTGTATGTTTTGACTTCATTATTAACATGCACATACTATTAAATAAAATTACCTATGTGGACAAATCAGCGATTTGAAATGAACATATTTCTGAAGTATTGTTTCCATAAAGCAATCACTGCTAGATACTCAGCTCTGCGTCTGATGAATGAATGTATGCTGCCATCTGGTGGCCATATAAAACACTCACAGTCACACAAGGCAGTCTCACTTACCGGACTTCTTCTCCTGCAAAATCAAACACCTTGGTAATTGTGATTTTGGAGGATTCTTTAGGTTTGTCCTCCTGCTGCTGAGACGCTGTAGAGGGTTTACTGGGTTTATCTGGGCCAGCTGTAGATGTGGACTATAAGAGATTATGCATATTAATCTAAGAGACAATTTAACAAAAAAAAAAGTGCAAAATAAATAAAAAAAATTTTTTTTTAACACATTCTGACTGTAGAAACAAGAATACCAAGACACTGACTGAACCACATGCAAAACACAGTCAGCTCAATGTTTCACCCAAATTAATAAATTATAAATAAATAAAAGGAAAGAAAAGACAAACGTTAGTACAAGAAAATTAAATAAACATGGAATCATAAAATGTGTGAGTTATTGTTAGAATATGTAACAATAAAAAAAAAGCCTACTGTATATATCAACTCTAAAAGTCGACATGTAATGAAGTTGAAATAGTCTTTTCTTCCCTATTCTGATGTGTCCAAGAAGTGAAATGGCTTCTAAAACCAGAAAAAAATCTTAAATCTTTAAAAATGTTTTTTTTTTTTTTTTTTTTTTACTTAAAGGGATAGTTCATCCAAAAATGAAAATTCTGTCATATACTCACCCTCAAGTTGTTCCAAACCTGTATGAATTTCTTTCTTCTGCTGAACACAAAAGACGATATTTTGAAGAATATGGGTAACCAAACAGTTTAAGGGGTATTGACTTACATAGTATTTAAGTCAATGGGGCCCATCAACTGTTTGGTTAACGACAGAAATGACAGAATTTCAATTTGAAGGGATAGCTCACTTTGAAATTAATTTTTGGTATGTTTTATCTTACCTCAAGGGCATCCAAGATGTAGGTGTCTTTGTTTCCGCAGTATTTTCAAGTCAAACTGTTCTTGTCTATCAGTCATATAATGGAGGTCTATGGTCACCACCTCAAAAAGCATGCACAGAGAAGTCCAAATTAAACATGATTTAATGACTCATTAAGGCAAGGACACATTGATGGCCTGAGACACAAAATGAGCGGTTTGTGTGAGAAAACCAACAGTATTTATATTGTTTTTATAGTCATTATATCATGTTTAATTTGTTCTTCTCTGAGCATGCACTTTGAGGAGGTTGACAGACAAGAACAGTTTGAAATTGAAACTACTGCAGAAACAAAGACACCTACATCTTGCATCCCCTTGAGGTAAGCTAAAACATACCAAAAATTCATTTCAAAGTGAACAATCCCTTTAATTAATTTAATTAATTTTTTGATGAACTATCCCTTTAAGTTTCTTAAGTTACCTGCTGAGTGTCTGCACTCGGAGCTGATGCTTTGGGTCGAGGGCCGACATCACTCAAAAAACTAGCCCAAAGATCATCTGCTTTCTTCTTCTGCTTAACGTCATTGTCCCCTGTAGAGTTGGTTACAAAATCATCTTCTTTTGGCTCATCTTCCTCTTTCTGCTGGCCTGATGAACCTCCCTCACCATCTTCTGCCAGTTTGAGGCATCCTTTTTTCCTTTTTCTTTGTAAATAAGAGGAAAGTGAGACAATTTTACTTTGATCATTTAATTAAGAATTTAGCTTAAAACATACGTCACTGATATCATACCTCATGGGAATGTCTGCTTTAGTTTTCTTCTTTTTCTTCTTCACATGTCCTGACTGCTGCTCGTTGGGATCCTCCCCTTCCAGTGCGTCCTCCTTCACACATTCATTCATGTCATCCTCGCTCAGATTATCATCTGATCAATAAAAGGAAAAAAAAAAAAAAAAACAACGTGAATGGATATATTCATATTTATGACCCTCAGACTAAATAAACATACGAACTAACGATGCATTTGCCTAAATTTTCGATGTATTGCTGCATTGGTGCATTGCTGTTCGAAAAGAAAAATAAATAAATACTATTTAAAAGGCCTGCTGTCATTTTAAGTAACCTAAAAGTGTGGTTTTAAAGGAAGGAAGTCTGAAGTGAAACCTAAATTCCTCTATGAGTGGGAATGTGTCTCACTTAAAGGCAGAATGTCATGTCTTCTGGTCCAATACACCTCTCAGTATCAGCTTGTGTTTTAATATATAGATAGCTACAACCTCATACTTCCCCATCATTTATCAAACTAATAAAACGTCATTTTATTGATCCCTTTAGTTTCTGCTGTACTCAATTGAACCTAGATTGTCCAGACCACCTCCACCCCCTACATAAACACACATAAATGCGTTTTCTTTACATGCCCAGATATAGATTGAGCTCTTATAGGTGTTAATGCTGAAAATGAATCTGAACAAGTCACTATGTTGGATCTCCTCTACCCACTGAAGAGCCTCCAATGCTTCATGATGCAAACCAATTTATAGACAGGACCATAAAAGACCAGCAGGGTTTTTGGTGAATTATATCAGTAATTGTTTTCATCTTTGTCATCACTGTCACAGCCAAATTGACATCTATCAGAAAGGAGAAACTATTAATCATTGCTTGGATCTGATTACATAAAACACTTGCGATCTTCAAAGAGGGATCTTAAAAAATATATGTTTTACACTCTAGAAATTAAATAATACTGAGTTAAGTCATTGTCTAGATACTGTGTAAGTATGTATGAATCCAAAGTATGAGCATTAGCTAGGATATTTGTTGTACAATTGTGTTTGCGTATGATGTCACTATCATAATGTAAAATAAAAAGTGAAGCAGTATGTGTGTGGAGATATATCTACCACAGACGGGTTAGCTAACGTTATATCTGTGCTCTTGCTACAACCATGCTAACTTCATGCTAAAATCTCTTACCAGAGGGGACATAGTCTTCATCCTCATTTGAGGAATAACCATCCGAGTCGTAATCCGAATAATTCATTCTTATTTTTCTGTGTAGTCTGTTGTATCACCGGCAAAATCAGATGAATACTCGAGAACAATCACAAGAAAGACTATGGCTAACCAGCTAGCTTTACTAGACGCCGAGCATGTTAGCTTGCTAGCATCATCTGATCTATAAAAGACTCAATGCCTCATCAGCCTTCAGAGTTCAGATAGTCGTTTCTTTTCAACTTCAAGTTTTTGTTAGGTTGTACCAACCTTGTGCTAAAAAAAGAAATGACAGAAAATGTTTTTTTATATATGTATTAACAAAATAAATAATAACAATAACTTGATTTTTTATTATTACGGGTAATTAAAGGTAAAATAGTATTATTACGGTCATTATTAAACGTAATACAGTAAATAAATGTAAAAAAATTCTGCCCTCCTGGCTCTTCAACAACAAAACAATGTATTATTAATAATAACAATAACTTGATTTTTATTATTACAGGTAATCAAAGGTAATATAGTATTATTAAGGTCATTATTAAACATTATACAGTAAATAAATTACTAAAATTCTGCCCTCCTGGCTCTTCAACAACAAAACAATCTATTAATAATAACAATAATTTGATTTTTATTATTACGGGAATTAAAGGTAAAATATTATTAAGGTCATCATTATTAAACGTAATACAGTAAATAAATTACTAAAATTCTGCCCTCCTGGCTCTTCAACAACAACAATAATAAATGGGGCTATTATTAACGGTAATCAAAGGAAAATTATTATCATTAATGTCATTATTAAAAGTAATAATAACAAAAATATAGTATACATCTTAATAAGCTAATTTTGTATCCATAGTCTGCATGCCTGGCTATTTCAACACTCCACAATTTAAGAATAGAATAGAATAGAATAGAATAGAATAGAATAGAATAGAATAGAATAGAATAGAATAGAATAGAATTAGCAAAATACAGTCATTCCATCCATATGATATGTGAGTCATGCTTTATGGCTACCGCGAAGGGACATGCGCTACAGCCATACAGGCCCCGCCCACAAGCCTGTCGCAAATCGCAGGTGACAGCCATGGTGACAGCTAGATAATCTCCCAAACCTGACACAGTTGTGGTCGGTCGTTAAAACTAATTTTCCTGGTTTTTCAACTGTATTCCAGAGCATCGGTAGTGCTTTTAGTTTAATGAGAGTAAATCCGCGCACTCGTCGGTTTCGCGCAGTTGAAGTGGATGTTGATGCAGTTGGAAGAGCATCTGTGCTAAAAACAAACGCTCTGCTCAAGCCCACATTCCTTTTCTAATGCTGTTATTCGGATTTGACACTTTTCTCACGCATGATCGCAGTGTTGGTCTTAAGAGAAATTCAGGACGTGGAGATGGGATTCGTTCAGCAGATCCTCAGTTTGAATTTGGTACCGAGGACAAATGCAACCAACTGCGGGAAGAACGACACCTCTCTGTGCGATTTCTCCGGTCAGTCTCCACGCCACAGCCGACATTACTCCTCAGTTCGACCAGCTCATGTTTGTGCTACTATGAGATTCAGATACTGTTATTGTGTTTAATCATTTGTATGAGTTTACAGTGCATAGTGGGTTAAGCTTTCAAACTGATAATGGGTTAGCAACTAATGCTAGTGTGTTAGCTTGTCCAGCTAATGATACTTGTGTTTGCTGAAATGGTGTTACTGAGAGACATCTATCTATCTATCTATCTATCTATCTATCTATCTATCTATCTATCTATCTATCTATCTATCTATCTATCTATCTATCGTTATGTCTGTCTGTCTCTCTATCTGTCTGTCCATCAATCATGATATCCGTTGTTCTTTCTATCTGTTGTTTACCTACCTATGTATATCAATCGTGTTCTATCTAACTCACCTATCCGTATTTCTATTTATCTATCGATCATTCTACCTTTCTGTTCTGTCATCTATCCATCTATCATTATGTCTGTCTGTCTAACAGTCTTTTCTAGCCATCTTATCTATCTATCTATCTATCTATCTATCTATCTATCTATCTATCTATCTATCTATCTATCTATCTATCTATCAGTCTTTTCTAGCCACCTGTCTACCATTTCATTCATCCATCTGTCAGTGTGTCTATCTTGTTCAAGTTGAAATGTGGCAGAAATATGCAGTTGAACATTTCATTTACAGGATTACTTACAGCACACAGGCTTGTAATATAGCAAATGACGTTTCACCACTAACTATCAGTCTTAAATTCCACGATGCCAGTCCTTCAGATCTTTTCTTAGATTCCGTGGGAGATGTTTACATCACAGGCGTGGGAAGCTTCGATAGACTCTGTTGGCTGATCTTAAGACTTTGAATGTGTTTCTTCATGCCGCTGATGTCTTTCTCTCTTTTTTTGTTTTGCAGAGATGTGGTATGGGGTGTTCCTGTGGGCTGTGGTGTCCTCATTGATGTTCCACCTGCCCGCCGCCCTCCTCGCTCTGGCAACGCTCCGCAGACATAAGATGGCACGATTTTTCCCAATCGGCATCCTGCTCATGGCTATCATCGGCCCGCTCTTTGGAGGGGTTCTCACTAGTATGTAGCTCGTTTTTTTGTCTATATGTCATAAATGATGATTATGAAATGCGCATCATACAAAATGTCTTCTCACAGGTGCAGCTATAGCAGGAGTCTATAAGGCGGCTGGGAAGAGTATGTTCTCCTTGGAAGCGTTGGTGTTTGGAGTGGGACAGTCGTTGTGTGTGTTTATCATTTCCTTCTTCAGAGTGTTGGCGACCCTGTAGCACTCAGACATTGGCACACCAGGCTGCCGTCACCTGAGCGTCATATGCAAAACACGGAGGCCTTACTTCCCAAACAGTCCCAACAGTTTCCTTTGATACAGAACAGTGAGTGCACGGAGTAACAAGAAACCTTACGAGCTACCTTTAAACTTGTTACGGGCGGAGTCATCGTGCACGTGTGTTTTATTGATCGTTACGGATGACGTTTTGTTTGTTAGTTTCTTTCAATTTTCATTTTATTTTATACAAATTTGAATGAGGTAAAGATGTACATACTAAAGCCCATTCCAGCTCGCTCTTAAATTACGCTTGAGAGGAACTACTTGTATTCACTTTGCACTGATTATATGAATCCTTTAGGCCAAAGGCTAGAAACTTCAATTTGTTTCTCTTCTGTATATTTTGCCCCAGATCGTGGGCATATTTGGAGAGATTACAGTTGAAACACACTTGTCTGTGGACTTTGACATTTTAATCGTTTCCCAGCACAGGATTTTGTGAAGTCTTTTTAAGAATTGGTTTTCCAAGTGGGCTCCAGGATTTGGCCTTCGCATTGAATATTTCTGTATATATTAGAGTGATATAATCTTGCTTTGACACATGTTTGCCCATAAGATTCTCACCTCTTATGCCTAATATGCGAATGTAAACCAGATTTCAGCTGAAACCATATATAGAATCACTTAAATCTTCACCAAAGAAATGATAACACTAATCTACAGCTGTTATACGTTTCAGATATTGCTCATAATTAGCTCAAGATGTTTAATGACTAAAAAGAACAAAATTGCTACAGAATGTACAAAATTGTAAGTCGTTTCAGAAACCCAAGTATATAAAATAAGTATAGTCACTCATATAGATGTTACATTAACAGCAAGAGGTGTAAAGCTGGTTTTTAGACTAATCTGAGACATCTAAACCAAATTTAATTCTCAGTTTAAGCATTTGTAGACTTGTGTTCTCCCATGTTACAAGCCCTCAGGAAGTTCTTGTGTTCTGGAAGATTCATTCAAAGCTCGTGTGTGCGATTGGAGCGCGCACTGAAAGCTATGCTTTATTTGTCTGAGCCTATGGTCTCTCAATTGCACAAAATGGATTTATTTTTCTAAAGTCAAATCATTCATGGTGGAGTGACTGCTCATTGTTTTTGTGGTCTGTCTTCTTCTTGAGAAATGGATTTGCTCTTTGCGACGTGATAATTTCCATTCATTTTTTTCTGGGCAAGTTTAATTTTCTTACTGTATAAAAAGTGCCAATTGCTAGTATTTTCATGAAATAAAATGGTTTAGATTATAATAACACCACCTTGTTTTGATATGTTAACTTATTATCCTCTGGTTTGGGGTGTAATATGTTGAACGTGTGCCTTGGATATGAAAATATATGCTGAAAGAGTTGTAAAAACAGTTTGGTTTCATTCCAAGTGGAGGGCGGTTTACTCACGCCACTCTCATCTGTGGTTTAGTGATGCTTCTGTGTTCTCCAGCACTTCTACACACACACAGATGGCTCTCCTGTGTTCCATTAACATTCACCAGCCAAATCTGCACAACCGCCACTGAAGAGAGTAATGAGCTGCAGAGTGATGACTCAAATCATGTGGGCTTTTCTGCTGAAAGAGGTCTGCTTCTGTATTGGAATTAAAGGACATTGGTTAACACTTTACTTGAAACGGTGTGCATAAGACTAACATGACACCTTCATAATTGTGACATGATATATGGAAGCTTTATGCATGTTTGTGTCAACTAAACTGTCATTAAGTGTCATTCGCTCAGTTATGACATTTTGAATGCAAATATGACATTGTTTGAGATGACACCTTGACATTAACACATCATAACCTGTCAGTGTCTTTGTCATGACAACTTGACATTACTAAGACAACACAACCTGTCATAAACATGACATATATTAATTATCAAACTTAAGAAAACACGTAGCTTTATGGGATAACATTACATTAAACTGTCAGGTGATTGGTTTTGACATTGGGCCGTCATGAAGTCATTATAACGTTTATAAAACACTTGTTGAGGTCACGAAAATATTCATGACAGTTATAACTGAAAGCCAACCATGACAGTTTAACTTAATTTATTGTCAAGTTGTCATGACAAAGACATCTTTAACAACGTCATATTTGCGTTCAAAATTTCATTATTGAGTGATAGAAATTAATGTTTGGTGTGTTTTAGCTTACCTCTAGGGCATCCAAGATAGGTGTCTTTGTTTCCACTGTAGTTTCAATTTTGATATTTTTAGGTCGAACCGTTCGTGTCTATCAGTCATATAGGCCTAATGGAGTTTTATGGGGTCCACCTCAAAGAGCATGCACAGAAAAGTCCAAATTAAACATGATTTAATGACTCGTAAACGTAAGTTTCTGTTAGGAAAACGCCGGAAGTGATCTCTCGCGCGTGTACATCACTCATTGCGTTTACACAGAGATATCGGATTGTATGAACATATTTATAAATAAATATTTATATAAAAACATATTTATAAATTTATAAACATATCTGAGTGACGTACAAGCGCGAGAGATCACTTCCGCAGAGAGAAGCGTTCGCCAAAATATATAATAGGCTACCAGATTTACTCTTCTTTTTACTTGTAATGTAGGTAACGTTACTTTTAATCAAATCACACCGGCAAACGTTTCATTGCCAGACTTCCTTTGATTCGCACCAAATGGAAGCTGTGTTAAGGAAAGGAAGAGGGATAAATCCATGAAAAAAGTCAGGACTCGTTTATGACACAACAGAATTCACTTTTTAATCATTATTAACAAGTAGATGTATTGATTTACTCTTCTTTTTTTAAACGCATTTGTTCATAATTCATTCTTTTGTACATAATCTGACGTGCAAGGCAAAGGTACACATAGAAAATAGATTTGCGCAGGGTCAGTCCATGTGTGTCTCAGGTGAGGGGGATTCAGTTCTTTGGTCTGATGTTTCTCCCTGCGTTGTGTGCTCCTCTGAGACTGTCTCGCTCCTCTCCTGGTTGGTCACTTGCTCGCTGGGCCCGGATGGGCTTTGCTCTGATTTGCTGTTTGTGACTGTTGTGCTGTCCGTCTGATCAGTGCTGTCCTCCTTCTCCCTAGATTTCACTGTGAATGCACGTGATGAACACGTTAGTAAGATGTCTAATGGAAGTTCTGTATATAAGACTGTATATATAATGGTGTCGGAATGGAGTTAACCTCTTCCTCCGCTCACCTTCCTCACCCTCGGGTAAATCCTCAGAGCAGGGCGTCAGTTCCCCCAGGTTCACTCGCTTTCCCCCCGGTGACCTCTGCCGTCTTGGCAGCGCTGCCTTTAGCTCTGAAAGAGGCCGTAATAACAACGCATTATTGTTTTGTTTGTAATTGTTTTGTTTTTAATTTTGAAAGCAAGAATCGACTTTGTCACTTTTCAAAGATGGCGCTTTTTGTGTTTTAAAGACCACATGAAATCAACATTTTGTGGCTGTATTTTGTCTACATGCTCCATCCAAAAGTCTGGGGTCAGTATAGTGCTGGGCGTTATACCGGTTCATACCGAAAACTGGTGTATATTTTTATTATGATATAACCTTTTAATATAAAGAATAGGTCTATTTTTTCTCGAAAGAATAGGTCTATTTTTCTATCCTGCACATAAAACGTGTTCAGTGCAATCTCGAATCTCTCCTCTTCCCCAGATAACCATTGTAGGTTATAAGAACGTTTTCATAATGCTCCCATTAAAGAAGCTGTTTGCAAGATTGTGGCCAAAACTGGTACTGCAATCACTTTCAAATTAGGGAGTATCCCCCATGACTCGAGGTTGACAGATATGCTGCAGGATCCAGCAGGAATGTAGGCTGCTACGAGAAGCTTCCAATGGCAAGTGACGAGTCCTTTTCTGTTAATTATTTATTTCGGACTTTGTAGAGTATTTCGGATTCATATCGAGTTTTTTTGGGGTTTCGCAACACTAGACTTTTTTTATCCGATTCTGACACGTTTGTATCTGCAGCTGGGGTAACTAGAGAAGAGCTGGCAACCCGAATGCCGCAACACTACTGAGTCAGAGATTGGTTGGTAGATCGGTGGAGGGTGGCGCATCAGACCAAAACTTGACAACATCAACATCAGTCAAGGGCTATGACTTCACTTTTTAAATGACAATATCCTGGCTGGACTACTGTTGTCAGTGATATAATATTATATTTGAAATGAACATGATTTCTAGTGACATATCAGGGAAAATGTATGATGAAATACATTTCTTGCATACACCTCCTTTAAGTTATAAAAATGTTATTGCTGAATGTTCTAGGAACATTCAAAACGTCAATTTTTTAGACGTTGTATTAACATTATTTCTTGGTTATAAAAACGTTATTCAAAACGTTATAAGAACGTTCAGTTCTCCCGTTAAATAAACGTTGTATTTTAAAGTTAATTCCTGGTTATAAGAATGTTATTAGAATGTTAAGAAATAACAATTTTATTAAATGCTTTGAACACCTCATTATGCATGAAAAAAACATCATAAAGCGTAAAACTGTCTTAATTAAAAAAAAAAAAAAAAAAAAAAAACGTGTTATAAATTTTTGGTCAAACTGCCCAGCACTAGGTCAGTAAATTTTTTTTCTTTTAAATAAATGAACACTTGTTCAGCAAGAAGGAATTAAAATGATCGACATAATGTTACAAATAATTCTTTTTCAAATAAATGCCGTTTTTTTTTACTTTCAATTACTTAAAGAATCATATAAAAAATGTAATAGTTTCCACAAATATTAAAGGATTAGTTCACTTGAAAATAAAAAAAATGTCATCATTTACTCACCCTCAAGTTGTTGCAAACCTGTATGAATTTCTTTCTTCTGCTGAACAAAAAAGAAGATATTTTGAAGAATGTCTGTAACCAAACAGTTTTTTTCCAACTATGGAAGTCAATGGGTCTGGTTACCGACATTCTTCAAAATATCTTTTTTGTTCAGCAGAAGAAATAAATTCATACAGGTTTGGAACAACTTGAGGGTGAGTATTATGATGACTATTTTTATTTTAAAGTAAACTATTCCTTTAACCAGCACAACTGAAACTAAGTGTTTCTTGAGCCCCAAATCAGCATTTTAGAATGATTTAGGACACTGAAGAGTAATGGCTGCTGATAGCTTTGCTATCAAAGGAATAAATTACAAATTATATAAAATGACAGTTTAAAGGAGTAGTTCACTTTTAAAAAACTTTTGCTGATAATTTAGTGAGTAAATTATCAGCAATTTTTTTTTTAAGTGAACTCCTTTAATCAAATAAATGCAACCTTGGTAAGAATAAGAGACTTCTTTCAAAAGCATTAACACATCTTACATACACCAAACTTTTGAACGGTAGCGTTAGCATATATGCTAGTTGACTCCAAAAAGTTGTTTGACACATTACTCCTAATAACACCTGCAACTGACTATATATATATATATATATATCTTCTTCAATGTGTAATCAATGTCACATTGACAGTTAAAGCAGCATTACATTATTACTCTTCAAACATCTCCCTCATATTACAGAGTGCTGCTCAGAAACACAAGGTGACATATTGTGAGTGACATCAGAGGCTCACCCTCAGGGTCAAGCATGGTGGCGTGTTGGAGGAGTGAATCCTCATGGACAGACACGGCACGGCGCTGGGGAGAGGGCTTCATGCGGGGCCGTGGAATAGGGAGGGTCTCTATGAGAGGAAATACGGTCAGACTGGGTCCGTTCTTATAAAAGACATGAACACAACACAGCACAACGTCTTTTAGGGACTTTACAGGACAGGGAGGATTGACGGTGGGAATGGGAGAAATTGAGGAACATTACAGTCAGGATTCAAACCTGTGACCCTTTATGTCATGAGCGTAGGAGCCGTCACCGCGCCACAGCTATGAACATCAAAAGGTCTTTTACAACAGATTCACAAATGAGAAAAATATCTGCATCAGGATGTATGGAGGAAGGGTGGAGCTTGAATGAAAATAAAGAATAAAATGACAGGCTACTCACTGTCCACAGAAAATGCTGACACGTACGCAACACTTGACACCGCCAGGGGATGTTCAGCCAATCTCATTATCACAATATTCATATTCTCACTTATGTGGTTATTGCACTAAGATAACATTTAGAGATACAAAGAGTATTTTGGACAAACACTCAAAAGAATGAATGCATTTTCATCAGGGCCCATTTGCTGCATCAGTCTCACAAGCATTGAATTACTGATGGGATAGGGCTAACTGAATTGCGTTCGGACTTTGAGAGCTTTAAGATCAGCCA